AATCGCCTCTTTGCGAGAGTTCATTTGCGTTAAACGCTCTCAGAGTAAACGTTTACATCACTTCCTGATTAAAACGTAATGTTATATATTATTTCGTTCTCAAGGTATCGATGAGCTCGTGTGCTGAGCGTGCCTTCATTCCACTTCCTCGAGCCGTAACCAGCTCTCAGAGAGCAGGCCACGGGGCACTTCAACATCAAACGAGGCATGAACACGAGACACCAGCATATAAGCGAGAACGCCGGCAGTGCGGCCCAGGCCTCCATCTGCGCTCAGACAGCTGGCATCAGCAAACTAACCACAAAGTGCCTGGATTACACACAACATCTCTTAAAGCCTGCCAACACACTGCACACTTTGTACTCATCAAACCATCCACATCAGTAACTCATTCTAAACGCCTCGTATAAAGAGAAGCGAGGCGGTTTTGACGGCGATTAGTTGGAACCTGTGAAGGAATGAAGCCAGACACGGAGGTGTACAGCATTAGCGTCTTTTATTTCGGTTTCTTTTTTTCTCTCATTTCTCGTTGCATAGGAAATGCACATCTTGCTTTTAGTAATTGAGTCAATGGAGGTGGACACTAATGGCTCCAAGAGAAAGGGGCAATGTCACTACACAGAAAAAACAAGGAAAAAAGTTCAGAGTAAGAACCGAAAAGCAAACAAAGTCATTCACAGCTCAAATACAGAAGCTCCGTGGAACTAGTTATGGAGCTGGTACCAATACAACATGAAGTTTTCTTCAGGAAATGTATTATAGGCACAAGGTTTTATTTATTTTTTTGTATTTTCTTTTTAGATTGTATCTAAAACGTAAGTATGTATACGGTGATTCTGCGATGTGAGATGGAGCTGTATGAGATACCAACACTCTAGTGGCAATTCGTAACTATTTTACGCTTCGGCGAATTGGTACGGATGTACATTTTCGCACAACCTTCCTACTTCCTCAGCTGAACCGTCTTGCGTACTTTTTCATAAAATCGCCGCTTTGTAAAATAGTTACGTTTTCTCACAAGATGGGGTTGGATATACGAAGGATGATGATGGACATAAAGATTTGGAGTGGTGGAGCTGGTTGCAGGGGTCTTGTAACATCACGCCGGAGATTTACACTAACCACCGCGATTGTCTTCTTTACGAGTAGGGCCGCAGTGTTGGTTAATTTTCAACAGAAGGGGTCTAGCAGAACTTTGTTGAACGTCCTCAGACTATACGCACAATCACATCTGTTTCCAAAAAATGTGGTACAGCACGTCCTTAAGATATTTATTAATAAGTTTAAACAAAGAGGAAACACTTTAATCGTAACCATTTGCTGTGTGTTTCGGTTTATGGATATTATTGATTGCTAGAAGACCTCTTTTCCTTGGGGTTGGATTTGATGGTCCTGGTTTGCAAACTATTATTTTCGAGTCCTTCGAGTCCACACTCGATATTTGAATCCTACCCTTTAGTTGGCTCGAAGTCAAACATCTCTTTCGAGGACCTCCTAAAACTCACTTGGTTCCATTAACGGTTCTCACGTGTACATTCTTCTGCCGACAAAGAACGAATATCGTACTTCGGTGACACTGCAACACCACTACTAAATTCCGAATGTAAGTCGATTATTTTTAGTGAATCCACACTAGTGGAATTTGACTCCCGAACAAATGATTTTTCAAACCAGGGCTTGAATCAAAAATATTTAGCACGACCAGTGAAGTCCAATTTCCAAAAGATACTTTTTTGAATCAGTTCTTTTTAGTAAAGCCCGAAAAGTGTACTCTGATTATCGAACGAACGACTCTTTGAGTCACGTCTTTTAATGAATCAAAAATACACAGCTCAACATCAGTGTAGTCCGATTCTTAAAAGAATGACTCCATTGAGTCGGATCTCTTCAGTGAACCAAAACAGCGCAAATAGTGTATAATGACTATGGTGTACTGTAGTTGCTGACTGCTTGTTTCAATGACGATTTGTGGCTAAAAACAAACATTATGCGTTTATCAGTAATATTTTATCAAATATAAAGCCCAATTATTAGATTGCATTTATTTATTAAATAAATAATACATTTATTTTCGAAATCATATCATTTGGCAATGGAATTGCATTTCTTTTCTTTTTTTCCAAATATTTATTCCCTAAAACCACTAATAGAATCGTTAAAGGAACCATTAAGGAATCAGATTCGTTCTTCACGATTCTCATCCCCATCAAAGAGCCTTTCGTATTTCACTTCAGAACTCCAGAGATGTTGTGAATTGCACCTACAGCAAGAAGATGCCAGTTCCACTGAGTATCGATTGTCTAGTGTGAGAACACACGAGGAAACACAGACCTTCATGATTGTTGTTGGAGATAATGGAGATACTGAGGGCTACAGCAGGACATGGACCAGAATTTAGGTGGACGCTATGTTTTTGTAGACGTATATCCTTGACTTCACTATGCAATTATACTACGGTGAAACTGGTTGGGAACAAGTAAACGGAATGAATTGGAGAAGCATCTTGGAGGATTTTGACTGGTAGCAGAGTTGGGTTAGATCATCTAGTCACATTTATAACAGTTGGTTATGGAGGCGCATGCAGTTTATAGAGTGTGGTTACTGAACAGCTATAATCAGAAAAGGCTAGTGGTGTTGAGAAAACAGAAACGATTACAAACTGTTAACTGGTTTGATATTCAGAGAGCTATATAATACAGTTTTTCACAGGCACTACATTTGATCTTAAATACATCAGGTAAAATGCTGGTTTGCTTTTAGTTCCATTATTTCTTTGATTGCGATACAAGTTCTTAAAAAACGAGGAAGGCAAAAGTGCAAGTACCAGACTCTGATTAGATTAGCGTGTCGTCAGTGCATAGTTCTCATGCGGATTACGCTGCTATGCTATCAGAAAGCAGGGTCGTTTCCAGTTAGCCTCCACTTTATCAGCAAGATTTAGCACCGTGTAATGATACCGTTTGGTGCAGTTAAGCCACCTGCCACTGGTGCATGATGGGGTTAAATTCATGGTATAGTGAACCTGACAACACGTTTATCCATATGATGGGCCCCTGAAGGTCAACCCAGGCTCTTTAAGCTCCTCATCAGGCCCAGTTCTGCAAATCGACTCCCGAAAGTGAAACATGGGTGTTTAGCGTAACAAAAAAATGTGTACCTGTAGTCAGATCTGTAGTTCTTTATTTCAATGAATGGCCGCATACTTGATTCAATTATTGTGTTTTTGGTTTTTTTAGACTTTAAAATGTCTCACGATTGAATAGTACCCTGATATAAGCCGTATTTCTGCCTTAAACCATCCAATGCTTGGTTCCCGCCTCAAATGAATATAAGCGATACAACAAGAAGGCCCACAAAAATGGGTACATAAAAATGATAAAGGCCTGCGGGGCCTTTATTCAACCCTGTTTTAGGACTAGCATGAAATTGATGCTATCATTAATGAAAGTATTAAAGGGATAGTTCACCCAAAAATGTATGAACAGTTGACGGTAGCCATTGATTTCCATAGTGTTTTTTCTATACTATGGAAGTCAATGGGTACCGTCAACATTTTTAAAAATATCTTCTTTGGTGTTCAACAGAAGAACGAAACTCATACACGTTTGGAACAACATGAGGGTAAATGATGACAATTTCCATTTCTGGGAGAACTATCCCTTTAAAATATCACTAAAAGTATAGAATGTTAAGATTTTGATAAAATGCCACAAATTATTTGTAATACTTTATGTAATCTGTGTGAACAAAAAAAGACCAAACTGAAAAATGACAAAATGGGATGGGAAAGCTGACGACATGCAGGACTCAAAATGTCCTTATTTTTGACCATCGTCCCTTTATCCTCAAGAAAAGTCAAAGTTCTTCCTTTTTTTGCGTAATTGTATGTCTTTTCAGTGTTTTAAACCACCATCAAGCGATCTTCGTGCGAGTTATGTGACCTGAGGGCCTCGCTTTCACATGAAATGTAGAATCGAGTGAGGAATGGCTTTATCGACGGCGCATCGTGACCGACCTTCTCGTCATTTAACGTTGCTCGAGTGTCTCTGTGTGTGCTGGTGGGCGGTGGAAGAAAGATGAAGAAGCTGAAAAGAAAAAAGAATCATGCTGCATATCAAGCGGTTTATTTTCCTGCATGGAATGGTGAACACAAAAAGATGCCTAGATTAATTTATAATAGGGGCATCCTTTGGCTGTCTATGTCATTGTCTTCTGCCTAAAACTAATTTTAAAATGCATAAAAACGCTCTCTTCTTACCAACATCCTCAGAATTATCTAGATTTAGCTTCATCAACACTGATGCAACAAATAACCTTCAAAACATACAGCATACTTGTAACATCCATTTACAATGGGGCTTTCACCTCGGCATCCTACACTTTTCAAGTATAGGAGTACTTCTATACCATCGAAGAAGAAATAAGTCCTTAAATACATACAAAAAGGAAAGCAAAAAGAAAACAAAAAACAGGAAACAGGAAGTTTTCAACTTAAATCCAGTTCCTCAGAGGACAAACAAAACCAGTTATATTTATGTGGCCTTAATACAAACAATCAGAAAATTCACAACACTAGTTTTTCCTCATTTAATCAATGTTACAAAAGTCCTGCATTATAAAATAGGGCAGCTTTAAAATCAGTGTAATTAATAAAACTATACAATATACAAACATCAAATCTCCCATACTCGGGTGCGTCCGCCCTAACTCTCGTATCTAATCGATTCGGTTTGTTCGCTTCTCCAGCGTCTTCTCCAACGTTGTACCAAAAAACTAAATTACACACACAACACGAGAACAAAACAGACTGCCCAAACTATTGCTTGAAATTCTTTTTCTCTTTTTTTCTTTCTTTAAAAAGGGTGCAATTTTGTCATTATCTTACACACACAGCCAATCTCGCTGATTAGATGCCAGGCTGCTCGAAACAAGGTTTTTGTGACAAAAAAAAAAATATCCGTGCAATCGTGTTTCCCTTCGCTCTTTTAAGCCCTGGAAGCTTTTTTTTTTTCTGTATTTTTTTCTCAATTATCACAATTGTCATTACTTTATATTTAGTGCAGACGATTAAGAAAGTAATGCCCAACTCATTTCTAAAGGGTAGGCAAGGACAATGACAAAAAAATCACGCTAAAAAAAACCCCCACACAAGTGTAACTACTAAACCATCACATCATATGCCTGGGAAATTCGTCCCCATAATTCGTTTTTTTTTTTTCTTAAATGATGTATGCAATAGAAAATAAACAGGTAAACAATTAATATAACACGGAACTTTGTCAAAATGTACAAAAACTGGGCATATTTTTTGTCCTGGACGTGTTCGCTTTTGTGTGTTTGTGATGGAAAGGAAGTTTCCTCGTTTTTAAGGCTTGGTTGATTGCCCGAAAAAACACAAAGTATGCGAAAACATTGATGATTGTTTGTGTGAAACCCAAGTTAGGCTGATCAATGGCGTTTTCTCGTGTCATGGGCATGAAAAACACACTGACGTTCAGCCACTTGACCTGTCAAGTGATCACTTTGGTGGTAAAAAAAAAATAAAAAATGACTACATGAGTGCAAGCAAGTATTGCATATTAATCTTTTCCTCATTATTCATCTCTGGGAACGAAAACAAATCCAGGAAGACCGAAAAAAGAAGAAGTAGTCGTCATTTAGAAATTGCAGCAACATCCATAAATATCAATACACTACTGTTAAATCGGAGAAAAAAGGGCACGATGACACAAAAACCTTCGCGTTACGCATTTTCTTGGGCGAATGATTGACTTTCAACTGATTGAAGTGTAAACGATGGGACTTTCGAAGCAACGGACGACCGAAAGTGGCGATATGTAGTTAAATGGAGAGCAATACTGTGTATTATCAATTAGCACTAATTTGACTCTCTCCAAATGACTACATGTGGAAGGTGGGGTGATAAGGTCAAAAAATATTCACATCTCCACATTACAACTTGTGCAATAACTCAGAACTAGACCATCGCTCAAGGCACATCGATGTGGAATTGTTCGTGCAGTTGGAAAAGGGACGATGAAGTGCGTACATATGAAAACGATTGATCTGACGGGAATAAAGGAGGAAGGGAGACTTTATAGAAATTACGACAACCTAAGAAGAGTCTGAGAGATGTTTAGCTGGTTGATTGTGAGAACAGCAGTAAAAATACCCTTTTTTCAAAGGACCAAACAAATACTTGATCGGCAAGTGCCCGATGTTGGGATTACAATGTTTTTCACACTACTTTAACTCTACGTAATCTATGTAAAAATTTGTCACTAAGACTAGAACATGCAGATTATTTTCTTTAATTTAAAAAAAAAAACTTTACTGAGCTTTGATCGACGGTGGATGAGACTGTAAGTGTATATATTTATATATATATGTTTCGTACAGGAAACGAACAAAAACTCAAAAAACAACAAAAATTGCATGCGAGGGAAGCTGGATCTTCACATTTTTGCACGACGCTTTCGAAAGTGTCCGCGAGGAAGTTAGTTCTGTATTTCGCCTCTTGCGTTCGCATTTAAACAGTCGATTTTTTCATTCATGATTTCGCAAACGGCTAATTTTCTTACGTATTTCATTATGTGCTCGGTTAAATTAAAATATTTGCTGTAGCGTTTTGGAAATGAACTAAATTGATTGTTTAAACTTTGATATTTCTTAAAGGGATATTTGCTCTACAATGCTAACAATCGAAGAACAAGCAAACAAACACATAAAAAACAACAACAGAAAAATCAATTACAGCTCCCCTTATTTCTCACAAGGCTATTTGTTCTATTTTCCTCTTTACGTGTTTTTTTTTATTTTTTGTACCCCGATATTTTAGAGTCCTGGAGGTGTGAACGGACTAGGAAGAAAAATATATATATTTATATATATACTTTTCAACAATCGCTTCAACGATCTATCTTACAAAGATATTTAACAATCCAACATCTACCCAACAAAATTGCACTTTCCTCAATTCAGTATTCACGGTTAACCTTTTCTTGCAGTTTATGGAAGATCGAACCTTCACTTGGCCCTTGGTGTGTGACAGACCTTCCGCTGGGGTTTAGGAAGACTAGAAAGAATCGCGATGATTTTTGTACGAAAAACACAAAATATGAACATGCCTCCAAGTGGGGAGATCTCCTGTTAGCATACCGTAAAATGACCTGGTATCAAACATCACCGTTCATGACTTCTTCATCGCCTGCCCCAAAATGACACAAAACAACTGAAAAAATGGGTTTGGTTGAGTCCTTGAAAGTTCTTGATCTGACATGGTGTTGATGGTGGTGGTGATGATGGTGGAAAGGGGAGGAAATGGTCCTGGCCAGCAGACGCAATAGAGATTTTTAGCTGGTGGCATATCTGACCCAGGCGAAACCTCCAACGTTCACCGATACGAAAACCGTATTGATCCGTCAAAACACGAGTGATTGAAAGGCAGAGCTCCGACCTCCGGGTGGTTGTGGGTTTGCGACCCTTGGCCACAGACTGCGTTGGAAACGCCTTAGAATTCACTTTAAGACCACAGGCACAGAAGCGGGAAGCTCTTTGATTGCGTCATGTTACGTTTTCCTCGTCTATCTGTGAGGGTGAACCAAAAACACAACAAAAACAAACAAAAGAAAAATAAACGTGCACGTTTCCGAGAAAAGAAAGCTCTTCTTTTTTTTTTTTCGAGCTCCACCCTCAGAAGAGCTGGACAGCTACTATATATGAATATAGGCATGTAAACCATACATATGGAAGAATACATATGGACTATATAGATATATAGTAAGTGGGTGTAAGCGCATTGAGTCGGTTCCTCTTGTTCCAGGGCTTGGCGGGGTTCTGCTGGAGCCATGCTGTGGGTCTGTCCGGTACTGGGGCAGCAAGTGGCTTCTCTCTGTTCAGACTGGTGTACATGTTTGCGGGTCGTACTCATGGGAGACAGAGGGGGTGGTCGTGTGACCTCGGGAGCGGCAGGTCCGTGTCGGGAGTCTTTAGCCCAGGTACCACTGTAACAACACAGAGAGGAACAGATCGGTGAGCTCTGGAGTGCAAGTTCAACGATTTCAATGAACAATCAGTGTCATCAGCAGTGTGTGAACTATATATATTTTATATATATTTTTGCCATCATTATATATATATATATATATATATATATATATACAAACGATTAATCACGATTAATCACATCCAAAATAAAAGTTTTTGTTTGCATAATATATGTATATGTGCTGTGCATATTTATTATGTATATATAAATACACACATATATAAATGGATAATGCTACTAAAACATTGTTTAAAAATGCTGCTTGATAATATGTAAAATAATAGTTTCATCTTACTTTTTACCTTATTTACTTTCTTAATATGTTTCTGATGTTATTGTGCAAGATTCATCAGTGCATGTTAATTAAAAATAAATGTTTTATAATCAAAATGTATTTTTAACCCCTCCTCTCCAACCACCTGTCATATAAAGACCACTTTCATGATTCAATCAATTCTCAAAGGATAAAATCAGGTCTTGTCGTACATTTCTTTTCTGGCTGAATACACACTTTTGAACTATGCCACAATGCAAAAAAAAAAAAACCCAAAACAAAACATAAAAATAAAATAAATATATAAAAGTTGTGACTGCAGTTTCATGTCAACTAAGACCCCCAATCCTTTTGTTTTTACCTTCTTTGGAAGGTTTAAGACTGATTATAACCCCCAGAACTGTCATTCATATAGTATCAGTATTATAATGGCAAACAGAAAAGCATACAGCGCTTGTTGTTTTCTTATGGGGTCACTTTTGTATCAGCGTGGTGAGGTTTTAAGACGGTGCTTGACTCTGTGAGGGCTCAGCTCGACAACATTGTTTCTCTTCCTGTTCCTGTCCATCTGTTCCCTCTCTCTGAATGCCTCTGCAGTGCTTTCCGCCACACGGCCGTCTGTGGACTGGAGTGGTGAGGTTAGCACGCTGCACCCCTGTAATCCTTCAGTGAAATGGGCTTATTGATTGCTGTGCTCCATTGTTCACATTTCCAGCAAGTGAGCAAGTGTTGTTCGGTGCTCGCCCACTTTTTCCCTTCGTTCTTCCCTCCCCTTTCCAGCTTCCCCCCTCCCACCAAGTTCAAGTTCATCCTGGTGTTACATCATGTCTGGTTGCCAGGGACAACCAGACAGCGTATACGTGACTATCATTAGCAAGGCCCTTATCCCTCTTTCTTTCTGTCCCTCTCTGATCCCTCTTTCCCTGCTTCCTTTCTTGCTATTCTCTTTCTGGCCGGCATTCTGTCCGAGCGACGTGATGCGATCCGCCCCATCCGGCCCTCGCTGCAAATACACAAGCTTTTGATTCAACGCGTTCAGTGAATCGCTCGCTCCTCCCACCGCTCAGCTCATCATGCGCACATGATGTCCACCAATCAGCAGCCGTAATTAATTAAGCCCACGGAGTTTTCAGCCAATCAGAATAAAGCGCTGAAGGACTGCCCTCTAATAACAACACAAGACTGCACACCAGAGTCACAGTTTCTTGTTTTCTATCATTATTGCACACTTTATGAAACTAACTTTAAATAACTTTATATAACTAAACTTTGATTCAATAAACATAATTTTGCATTCAATTAAGATATTTTGCATTTTTAATGCATTATACTGTATATACACTTAAGTTCTATTCTTTACATTTCTGTAATATAATTTTATATAAATATATTATCATAATATTCAGATAACATACTTAACATACATAACATGAGAACAAGACATGCTAAATATTTACTTATTAATTGTATTTTTTATGTTTTTATTATTTTTTATAATGTCATATAAAGGTGTAAATATTTGTACATATTTATTATTTTTATAATGTCATATAAAAGTGTGTAAATAGACATGCTAAATATTTACATATTTTTACTTATTTTAAATAACTGCACACATTTTGAAAAATGTGATAAAGCATAATATAAATAGGCTTTAAAGTGATTTTTTAATTTTATTATTTTTTATAATGTCATATAAAGGTGTGTGTATATAATATACACATACACACATGCATGTAAATATTGTATTATTTTATATATATATAAATGAATATATATATATATATATATATGGCTTCATAAAGCGTTTTTTCTTTGTCAGATTACATTATATATATATATACACCTCATATGTAAATATTTCTTATATTTTACAATATATACATATGACACCTTACACTAAATGTATATGTGAATTTTATTTATTTTAAATAATGATATGCATATTTTAATAAGGTATTATATAAACACTTCATAAAAAAATATTTTTCTTTTTTTTGTTATATAACATGTACAATATGATACCTTGTACTAAAGGTATATGTGAATACTATATAATTATTTAATAATTAAAAAAATAATTTAGAATATTTTCATAATGCACTACATTCACATAACTTCATATTCAGTGTTACTTTTAGGCCTATGAGGTATTTTTTATTTATTATTATACACTATACCTCCAAATACACTTTATATAAAGTCTGTAAACAAATGATACATTTTAAAATATTCAAAAGACATCATAAAGCTATTGTAATGTCTTATAATACTTAATAAACATTACTGTTACTGCATTTATGTATTCATGTATAAATCCATACACACACGCACATGCATACATAAATATCACATATTATATCTATATATTATAACTGTGGTTATTTTTGAATAGATATATATATATTTATATAACATAATAATGTGCAATATTAATGAATACATTAATAGTTTATTTTATCATCTAGGCTTCATATAATGCTCCAGCAGGTTAATCTGGTAGATGATCTAATGTAGTTAAGAGGAATGAAATGATATGTGAGGTTGAGTGGCTTCACTCTGGTTGGAAATGTCCCAGACATCGGCGTGGAAGGCTCTAGCGTACGGCTCGTTTAAATTCTATAGCTCACCGCAAGCGCAGCGGAGAAACTGGAAGGTTAGTTTTTAATCAATAGAAGTTGCTGACTCTGGACTTCTGCGCTCCGGTGCAGTGCAGCTTCCTTGTGTCTTTGTCTATCGGCTCGACCGCTCTCAAACATCCCCCCTCCCTCCCTCTGTCCCTCTCCTGTCCTGAGAAGACTTTTGGAGACTCAGAGAGCAGGAGCGTGTTGGGTTCTCTGCGATACTCCCGTAACTGTGTGGACAGTCTGCTTATGTTACAGCACAGAGGCTGTGCTGACAGCTGTGATTTAGTCTGCAGATACACGGCACGCAGGAGTACAGAGGGGAACCAGACAGACAGACAATAAAACGTGTGAAATTACAACCTGTCATTCTTACGTTTGCAGCACGGCCGGCCTTTCAGAACCAGCACAAACGCAGCTAAATAAAGAGAAAACAATCTTGTATAAATCAATTAAGAACTACATTTTGATATATTTTATGGAACATCAGAGAGGTGTTTGCTGGAGATCAACTAATATTCATTTTTCACAGATGGACTGATATGATATACAGATTATTTTACTGTTAAAGTAACCAATAGCAAACATGCAAAAAATAATTAATTAATGCTTAATTTCTGACACAATACACAATGCTAAACAAGTTAATAATCAATATACTACTACAATAAAAATACAAATTCTAAGTATTATCAATAATAATAAAAGTTTAGTAAATAATTTAGTAAATAATTAACAGTAAAAATAATTGATAAACATTAAAATAGCAATTTAACAATAGACTACAACAAACATACATTGTGGATATTATTATTATTATTGTTGTTGTTGTTATTATTAGTAGTAGTATAGTAAAAATTATAAATATTTGACAAAAAAAAACACAATATAAATTTAACAACAATTACAAACAGGACCTGTGAATAAAATATTAATATAATATTAATATTAATATTGTTTTAATAATAATAATAATTTTAGTGGTGAAAAAATATAAACATCTTGAATAATTTATGTAAACATTTAAACATGTAAACTTAATATAACGTTAAAGTCTCAATAGACTACAATACAATTTTATTATTATTATTAATAAAACAATATTAATGATAATTTACTTGTAAAAACCGTAAACACATTTAAATAAATCAATAAAATGCACTGTGAATAATAATAATAATAAATTATTATTGTTATTATTATTTAGTGGTGAAAAAAATATAAAAAAACTTTAACAATAGACTACAATAAAATTTATTTTGATTATTATTTTTATTTTTATGAACAATATTAATAATAATTTGCTAGTAAAAACCATAAACATATTTAAGTAAATCAATAAAATGCACTGTGAATATAATAATAATAACAATAATAATGTATTAGTAAAATCTAATTTATGCAAAAACATTAAAATATCAAATTATTTTATCTATGAAAAATACATGCAAACAACATTCAAATAATTAATTAAATTTTCCTGTTGAACATTCAGTGGTGCAATGGGTGCTACTCTTTAGACACCTACAAAAGGCATTTATCAGTTCAAAAGATAAGTAATAATGCATAAAAGTGTAAAAATAAAAATCTTTAGCGCGAAACTTGCTTATAGAAGAAACTGTGTGGGATAATCTATGATTTATGGCTTTGTTCAAATCCCTAACCCTAAGAATTATCAATAATAATGATGATTCTTGCCTTAGCAAGCAGCACTAATGAATCTTTTCATTGGCTCTCAGCTCAAAGAAGTCCTCAAAAGTCCTTTGCGGTGAAGTGGAACGCCGTGCCAGAAGAATTAAAGAGGTTTCACACACATCCGGATCAGTTTTATAGACTCTCAACTAATGGATGATGTTAAGATTTAATTAGGGGTGACAGAACCTAGAACGGTGTAAAAATGTACCAGGAATAAAACATCAAGTGTAAAAGGATCACTTCCTAACAAGAACAGATGCATTGTGGGATAGTTCATCTGGAAGGGCGAAAAACAACGACAATCCCAGACTGTGGGATTCAACCTCCTCCATCTGTCAGGAGACCGAATCAAGCTCCAGGCCC